TATAGTATAGCATAGTATAGCGTAGTATTTTCATGTATGGCAGGACTTAATTTGGGACTTTATTAGTCCTGTTGTCTGTGCCTTCAATTTCTTATTGTAAAACTAATAAAAAAAAGAAAAAAAAAAGTTCTTGCTGGTATTTTGAACGCACGCTTTATCTTTAGTATAGCTACCACAAAGTTTTTCGCGCGGATTATATTTCGTGGAGTACTAAATATTATAGTCATTATATTTTGTGGTTTTCGACTCATTACACAAAGAAAAACACATTAATTCAACACGCAAGAAAGTCCAGAGTACGACACAACGTAAAATACATAGGAAACCGGCACAATTTTTTGAAAATTCAACCAAACTGTGTAAAATATAGTTTGATCACTCTGTGAAAAGCCGCCATTGCAGTTCGGAATTGTGCGCGTGCGTACAAGTGTATAGGCTAATAAACGAAAAATGTACCACAAGCATGGCATGAGTCGGCTATTACGTACATATATACGAGCTTATTACGATACTATCTAAAACATGGAACCGAGGGAATCGTTGGCATTTTGGCTTAATCGTTGCACCCTGAGCCTGCGATGAGCTAACGCAAACTCGATTTCTCGACTACGAAAAAAACAGAAAAAGGGGGATTTAAGACACTTGGCCTTACAGGCCAGTGTAATTAGCCTTTAAGTGGTAATTAAGGTATTTGAACTAGATTATTCTGAAATTCCAGGACCATAGACCCATCATACAAAGGTATAAAATTCTATATATTTGTAACGTTTCAAATTATAGAATTTGATACCCTTTTCCGGCTTTCGTTTTGACTTTGTATATCCTAGAAGTAGAATGTTAAAAAAATCTATAAATCGAAATATTATGAGCCAAGGGCGAAATTTTTGGAAGAAACACTAATTTGAATCACAATGACAAAGCATTTAGTCCGTAAATTGCATTGCAATCATACATGCCCGCATTTTACACAGTGCTTAGCTGCTCTTAAAAATTGCAAATATTTAAAATTTACTTTTGATTTTCTCGCTTAAACTTGAGAGAATCTTGCGTGAAACGTTCTTGAAAGCTTTATACATAAAGAAGGTGAATTTGGAGCGGCTTTAAAGATGATTTCTTGGTGTTTCTATTTCGTATTTGTTGTGGCTTTCCACTCAAAGTGCGTGGCTTGCTCAAGCGACAATTCAAGCTCGACAAAAACTATCATCATAATCGTTGTCGTCGTTCTTAAAATCCTATTTTGGCTTGCTGTTTATTATTATCGACGAAAGCGCAATCCTGGCAATCATGCCATTGTGATTCAACGAGTCAACAGCCAACCTTTTGCCGCTGTTGTTGCCAATTTATCAAACACTGAAATGATGAATACAGCATCAGGATATACACCAGAGCAACATGGTTATGACCCTGACGAACATGCATGTTACCCGCAACAACAGGCACAGCAAGGATTTCCTGGTGATGATGCAACCACAGAATACAATCCCGAATACATTCCTGAATACAGGCTATCTTTTGGTGATCTGGCTAATAACTCTCCTCCCCCGTACAATGACGGCCCTCAATTTCTTCGCTGTAGTCTGTATATGAACGCGGTTAATAGGGTATGTGATCTGAACTAATTATAAACTGTGAAGCTCAGTAGATTTATACAAATAGGTTGCTGAACTTATGTTATAAGTTAGAGTTATAACTTGTTACGGTATACAGTGTTATAACTTTTTACGGTATATAGTGTTATAACATAAAAATTTTTAAATTTTTCTTTAGCTTTTTTTCTTCAATATTTTAGCCTTGGTTTCATATGATTTGTAGTATGTAACGTTGACTGTTGTTGTGGCATTACCACAGATGGCCCAGGCTCTGTGAGTATTTATTTATTTTTTAATTTTATTATACTTTGCATTAAAAATTTACTTTAAATTATAAAGTATAACTTACTTAGTTTTCTTTATGTATTCTATATGATTTGGGGGTGTTGTTTATGTTTCTCTATCATCATCGGTTACTACCAGTATCTCTCTCAAATTTATTCGTAACAAATAACCAAGTTCATGGTTACCATACTAGAAACGCAAACTCTAATCGACCTCACCATTGCCGCACAAACATAAAACAATTCACGATTCTTTATCAAGGCCCTAAAATTTGGAATTCATTACCTTTTTCAATAAAAAGCTCCAATAGTTTACATTCATAACTGTTTCCTACTAAACAAATAAACGAGTCTGAATTTATTCACGCCTCTATAACTCTCTATACTTATTTGTGTGTTATAAAATAATCAATATAATAATGTAGTGTCCTTCACCTACGAGGTGGCCTCATTTAAAAGCTTCCGGCTTCTAGAGGTCTCCTCGCCACGTATTTATGTATATATAATGTATTAGTGTGCGTCTATTCGTAAATTTGTGGTAAATAAAGATTTGATTGATTGATTGGAGTGGTTTTAGTTTGATGTTAATTAATGATTAGGGGTGGGCGATATTTCGATATTTTGATTTATCGCGATATTTTCAATCACGATTATCGTATCGAAGGGAGAAACTTGAGCGACGATATATCGAAATTATCGTCATGCTCGATGACTATCGTGATATTGCTTCGCATGTGTATATAGCTGTTATAAAATCCTAAAAAATTCTTTCAATTCCTTGAAAATATAGTTTTAAAAGAATTAAAACTATTTCTTGAATAATTGAATTAAATATAAATTTTATAACACGACAACTGTCAATAAGAATACGATAAGACGATACAAAAGCTAATAATTATGTATTAACCGCTGAACAGTGAAATTGCAGGCTTTGCTTTCCCTGTGTAAATTCTAGACAGATCGTTTATGAATAGTAAATATTAGGTAGTTTAAGATGTACCAAATCAGCGATGCTGATGTGACTAAAAAACAGTCGCTAATAACTGGAGACTAGTTTTACTTTGTTTTTCACGTGTCCCTGGCTTTGTTTACCAACAACAACCCACAGTTTTTACCCGTGAAGTACTGAAGTGAAACTGTGATAATAGCGGCAGTTTTTCGTCACATCCGCATTGTAGATTTGGTGTACCTTAAGCTCCCTATTAGACTAGAAAAACTTTCATATTAATTTAATTTGTTGTTTTACTTGTTTTTTATAAGATGACATATAAGATTACTATGCTTTGATATTAATTAAGATTGAAAAATGTTAGAGCTGCTCCCGATTAATCGATCAATCGATTAATCGATTATTTTTCCACAATCGATTATACTTAACAGTAATCGGATAATCTATAACACCACACAGCGTAATACGGGAATGAGTTAATTTCTTTCCAGATTAAAAAAAATTGCGACAAGATTGTGATTGAAACATGAAATGACAAGTTGATTCAAAACATTGTGGGTCAAATATCAACTTCACTCGCAGCGTGCAAAGTTTACCATAGTCTGATCGGGTTACCAGTGCAGCGAAAATATCTTTAAAGTTTTATTAGAATAATTTATAACCATTTGCGTCCAACATTGCGGTGTGCAGACATCAACCAATTTATTATCCATAAGAGTCTCTTAAATTTGCTTAGGAGTGTCAAAGGTAAACAACCAAAGTAAACTTTCTTAATATCCTTTCTGTCCTTTCACGCATGTCTCTTATGTGAAGTGTAAGAGCGCGAGAATGTGCGCAATATAAAATTGTGATTAATGTTCATTTTAAACGCAGATTTAAAATGTTTATACTGACTGGTGAAACCCAAAAAAAATTAGTAAAGGGTATTACAATTTAGAAACCTGTCAAACCACCATGGGCTTTTCATATTTAAATTAATTATCAATACGATTAATCGATATTAATCGATTGTTGACAACGATTAATCGATTATGAAAATTAACCGATGGGAGCAGCTCTAAAAAATGTGGTCATTGTTTTTACTGCATTTATCGCGATATTCTCGAATATCGTGATAATTTCCTTGACGATAATCGTGAGATGATTTTTTTAATATCGCCCACCCCTATTAATGATACAAAAAACATCGTGAGAATGCGATCTAATATAGCCTACACTTTATATATACTGTAAAATACTGTAAAAAATACGCACTGATTCACAATCCACTAGTAAATACGGACCCCTCTTCTGAATTTGATATACCTTTTGGCTTTGACTTTGTATATATCCTATAATATATAGAATGTTAAGAATAATCTATATAAGAATAATCTATACGAACACGGAAGAAGAAAAAACTATAATTTGAATCAAAACCATTTGTCTTTTGACTTTTTTTTTAGTCCGTAAATTGCATGAAACATGTCAAGTATTCTTTATACTTTACATAACTAAATATATTTGAACGCTTTCGTGCATATCGTTGGCGTTACACGCTCGCATTTACTCAGTGCGTGTAGCCGCTTTTAAAAATTGCAAATATTTAAAATTTACTTTCGATTTTCTGGCTTAAACTTGAGAGAATCTTACGTGAAAAGTTCTTGAAAACTTTACACATAAAGAAGGTGCATTTGGAGCAGCTTTAAAGATGTAGCTTGCTCAACAGACGGTTCAAAGGCTCCATTGGTCACCATCATCGGCGGCACGGTTGCTGGCGTTTTTTCAGTCTTTCTTTGCGCTTGTATCTGTTCCTGCTGCTCCGAACTAAAACGGTTCTCTCGACAAACAGAGTATCGCAGATTTGCGCCTGACACCGACCCTTTCACCGGCTTTGTTGCCAATTCATCAAACATTCGAACGATGAATACAGCGTCACGATATACACCACAGCAACAACTTGATAACCTTCAACAACATGAGGTATGTAACCCACCGCAACAAGCGCAGCAAAGGATGCCATGGCTGCCCACAGAAACCATTGCCAAATACAGACGATCTTTTGGTGAATCCGGCGTATAACCCTTCTCCCCTTGACACTGACAGCGATGTTGTTTGTGTCTGAACCACCTATAATGCATCACAGCCCTCAATCGTGATATTATGCGCTGTAATAGTTTGTAGTGTAAAGGATTTTAGTCTTTTTAATTATTGAGTCCAAACTTAAAATAATTTGAGGATATCTTATAGTGTTAGGTATAGTTAAACCTTCAATATTTTAGCTTTGGTTCATATGATTTGTAGTATGTATTGTTGACTGTTGTTCTCATAAACACTGTATTATGCTTAAAGTATACTAAACAGCAAAGCAAAGTAAAATCGAAGGCCATTATATATAAATGCTTCGTGACAATCATGACTGTTACAACATGCAGGAACTTATATATATATATATATATATATATATATATATATATATATATATATATATATATATATATATATATATATATATATATTATATATTATATATTATATATTATATATTATATATTATATATTAGTAATTATGTATTATGCAGTAATAAATTTACGTGGTGTTTCCCGACAAATAAAAAGTATTATATGTTTTATCGCCATGCAAACCTATATACAAAGAACTTAAATTAAGTATATCATTCCTATTAGTATTACCTATGGCTATACACATTGTTCTCCCGATACAGCCGTTCATAATCTTGCCGTCATGCTTTTGAATCTCATCTGCTTCAAGCCTTTAATATACTTTCGTTCCTCTTCGTTCCTAAAGGCCCACTTCGACTGAAGAAAAATTTTGTATGTTATTTTGTGCTTTATTTTGTCCGATCGTTTGTATAATGTAAAGGATTTTAGTCCTTTTAGAAAACTGTTAACTTGCTAAACGTAACATTTTTACGACCATATATATATATGGAAAACAGGCTTAAAGGGGCAGTGTCACGGTTCTACTGCGCATCCAAAATATGCGCGAACTTGAAAACTGTCTGCCAACAATTAATCAAGTTGGGAGTGAAATACGATATACTATTTATAATCCCTCGGTTATGCAGGACATCCTTGCTTTGTTTTAAAAATTGAAGGCTGCTGCATTTTTTCCAATCATGTGGCGTTAATTTTAAACGTTTCTTTGCGTATTTTAGCCAATCAGCGCCGTGACACTGGCCCTTTAAGTGGTAATTAAAATATTTGAATTTGATTATTCTGAAATTCTAGGATCATACAAAGGTATAAAATTCTATATATTTGTAACGTTTCAAATTATAGAGTTTGATCTCTTTGACTTTGTATATCCTAGAATGTTAAAAATAATCTATAAATCGAAATATTATGAACCATAGGGGAAAAACCACAGGGTGCTCAACTACTGTCAAGTGTACAATAATCAAAGTAATAAATTTACTTTAAAAGATTTGCATAAATTCTTCACAAAAATATTGATAAATATATTATGATTGGAGCAAGAGAAAAATGATCTATATGAAGTACTATAGAATCCTCAAAAGGGAGGTAGTAATGCGTGTAATCCCAATGGCAGAAAACAACAAATGCAGTGGACTAACAATTGAAATTACTTGACTGTAAACCAATAAGATTACATTCGGGTTGTATGGTGCGCAGATTTTTCGAACTCGATAGATGATAGGCAAATGAACACAGACACAGTTCGCAAATAAGGTTATACTTTATAATACGGATCCAAAATGTTCACGAGAATAGAAGATCGATATAGTCGTATACAATCGGTTATCGATTATCGTATCGTTTTTCGGTTCGAACTAAATAACATGACAATGAAAAATATCTACTTAAACTATGAAAATACTGTTTGCGTGACTATAGCATGAATCACGCGATCGCACGAATACGCAATAACTATCAATAAATTAACTATATCATACCCTAACATGCATTAACTAAACATAAGTGAATATTTCAACTGAATATACAATAACTAAATCATTTAACAACATATAGAACCTACGATTGCAACTGTACAAAAGAAAGGTCAAATGTGTACTCACGTTGGTTTACACGGGCACCAATGACCTTTAACTTTGGCTTGAAAACCACAGCGAGTACGTATAATACAATGTCGATAGAAATAGTTTACCAACAGCTATCACGATAGCGTCCACAGATACAAAACTTTGTCCTTACACAACAGAACGTACTAGAGCCTTGACCTTCCTTGAGTCACGCAACTATATCTAAAATTCGATCCCGTAGGCGCAACTAGATTGACATAATGTCAAATAAAGCTGCATAATTTGCGTCGCGTTAAGGTGATGACGTTTACAATATATTCGCGTTTTAAAACTAACATTCCGGCCCCTTAAAGGCGGAACCATGAGTAGCCTTTACCTTATAATAATATAAAGTTTTGAAACGAAACTAAAGTCAATAGAAATAACAAACAAGAAATAACTAAACGTTCTATCGTTAATTATACTAATAATGTTCATGCACAAAATGTCTACTTATCGTTTTGGGTGACATCAGCTCCTTCCAACAGCACAATCTTGTTAACTGGTCTTGTAAGTTCGGACGTCCTGGTCTTCAACTTCACTGAACGTACGAGCCCATCATTGCGGTTAGTATACACCTCCAAAACTCGTCCGAGTGGCCAGAAATGTCGCGGAGTTTTATCATCAAGGACCAACACGATGTCATCCACTGCGAAATTTCTCTGCTGCTTGTTCCATTTCTGCCGTAACTGCAAGGATGGGAGATACTCCTTAACCCAACGTCGCCAGAATACATCTGTCAAGTACTGTACTTGACGCCATCGCCGACCGTAAACGTCTTGTTTGGAGAGGGAAGCGGGTGGAACTGAGGGTCCGGCTCTGAGCATCAATAGGTGGTTAGGGGTTAGAGGTTCCATATCTCGTGGGTCGTCAGAAAGCTTAGTAATAGGTCGCCCATTCACGATCGCTTCGACTTCGCACATTAAAGTGTTGATTCCTTCGTCGTCCAATACTTGTTCTTTGATCACCGCCTTGATCACCTTTCGCGTCGTCCTGATGCATCTCTCCCAAACACCGCCGTGATGTGAACCGGTTGGAGGATTAAACATCCACTTAATATTATTCTGCAGTAGGAAGTCATGAATCTGCGATTGGTTCCATTCCTTAACAGCCTCGCGTAGCTCTTTTTCTCCTTTCACAAAGTTGCAGCCGTTATCCGACCGAATTAGCTCGGGTTGTCCTCGTCTCGCGATAAATCTACGTAGGGCATTAACGAATGACCCTGTGTCCAATGAACTTGCGACTTCGAGGTGAATAGCACGTATGGTTAAACAGGTAAATAAAACACCATAACGTTTTACTGTGGTACGGCCACGTCGCACTTCAAACGGCCCAAAACAGTCGACTCCTGTGTATGTGAAAGGTGGCTTCGAAGGCGTCGTTCGATCTTCTGGAAGATTAGCCATTTTCTGTTGAGCCATAGGTGCTTGTCGTTTCTTGCAACTGATACACTGGTTAAGGATTTTCCGTACGGTCCTCCTTCCGTTGATGATCCAGTATCGTTGTCGTATCGGAGACAAAGTATATTCTAGGCCTGAGTGCCCAGAAAGGTGGTGGTAGTGGTTCACGATGAGGGTGACTACGTGGTGGTTTTTGGGTAGGATAACGGGATGTTTTGCATTTTGGTGAATTGGTGCTCGCCCCAGGCGGCCTCCAACGCGTAAAAGCCCTTCGTTTACCACTGGGTCGAGGTTGAAAATTTTGCTTGACTTCTTAAGTAGCTTTGCGCCTCTCGAGCACATTGTTTGCTGGTTGATTTTATTAAGAAACTCGCGTTCCTCCCTGAACGATTGCCCTTGTATGTACTTCAGGATTTCAGTTTCCGCATTTTGAATCTCGACTACGTCGATAGGAGCAATCGGACCAGATGACTTAATTGCGACCAATTCCCCCGCCTTTCGTTTCTTGCTTTCACGTAGTAGATTTGCCTTGTACCGAAGCACCCACGCCGTAATTCTTTTCAGACGATTCCAAGACGAATAACGTTCGATCATTCTTACTACTGGATTTGGATCAGAACCATGACTTGCACATACAATGGGTGATTTGACTTCAGGATCGGCTTCATCAACATTCACGTTCATTTCGGCTGGTCGTTTTGGCCAGTCTTCGTTCGATTGACATAGGAACTCTGGTCCTTGAATCCAACGCTCGAGAGAATTTGCTGACACGCCCCTTGAAGCATCGTCGGCTGTGTTTAGCTCGGTATTGACATAATTTCATTGGGATGGGGAAGATGAGTTGTGGATGGCAGCGACTCGATTCGCCACGAACGTTTGAAATCTCTTGTCTTGGTTCTCGATGTAACGTAACACACACGTACTGTCGGTCCAAAAGAAGGATTGATCGATTGGAAAACTTAGTTCTCGACGTGATATTTTGTCTAGCTTCGTTGCTACGACCGCCGCTGACAATTCCATACGAGGGATTGTGACCGGTTTGATAGGTGCAAGCCTTGATTTGCCCATCACGAACGAGCACTTTACATTTCCATCTTTATCTTTAACTCTAAGATACGTTACAGCTCCGTACCCGTGTTGTGATGCGTCTGCAAAGTGGTGTAGTTGAGTGTCGTTGACTTCTCCTAGATCAGTGGGTTTAAAACATCGATCAACAGCTAGTTGTTCCAGATTCGGTAGCTCTTGTAGCCAAGCTCGCCAGCGATTGCGGTATTCCTCGGGAATTTTTTCATCCCACCCCAACTTCTTCCGACATAGATCTTGGAGAATGAGTTTGGCTTGAAGAATGAATGGAGCAGCAAACCCCAGCGGATCGTATACAGAACTGACAATCGACAAGATACCCCTTCTCGTCGCTGTCAGAAATTTTACCTCGAACGGACAAGTCAAATCTACTAATCAAAGCTAGTCAAGTCAATGACATCGTGAAAAAGTATTGCGACCAAAATAAATGGGGCTATATTAACCATAAAGCCATTAATGCAACCTGTCTGAATTCAAAAGGACTCCACTTGAACAAGAAAGGTACTGCCATTATTGCTAAATCAATCTCTTCTTATATTATTAATCATTGATTAGTAGCGACGGGTATGTCTAACCAAACTTTTTCTAATGTTGATAAAAGCGACTCTAATACGCACAAACAAACTGATTTCAACTTACCTAAACACAGAGGTTTCAAAATTGCTTTTCTAAACATTGCAAGTTTACCCAAGCATATCGATGAATTAAGATTAAACATGCAACATCAATATTTAGATATACTGGTCTTAAACGAAACTCGTCTTGATGAAACTATTAGTAATTCTGAAATATCAATTGATAAATATACTTTAGTTAGGAACGATCGAACACGACACGGAGGCGGTGTAGCTATGTATATCCGAAATTCAATTAATTTTAATCTCAGAAATG